GGCCGGCTGCTCCCCGGCGCGGCGCGGCGTCCCCGGACGGGCGCGGGGGCTCGCCCACCCGCCTGCAGCCCCCGGAGCCGCGCCGCGGCGGGCTGGCCCTCCGGTCCCGGTCCGGATCGCCGCCCGCGCGAGCAGGGACGCGCGTGGGGCCCGTTCTGGACACGCGTCTCCCTCGGAGGGCCGAGGCGTCGGCGACGGTGGGCTTCCTCGGGTTTGCGGCGCAGGGTGGACGCGGAGGGTGGCTGGACCTCTGTGCGTGTGCAGAGGGCGTTCCCCGCGCTGGGGAGCGCAGTCCGCCTCTGCTGCAACCAGGTGCCCCCCCCCATGTGTCGTGGCACGACTCCCATCAGCCCCAGCCAGCATGGGAGTTGCATCCATCACATCTGCGGGGCATGCCTTAAAAAAAACAGACGGTCCCAGACTCCCCTGCTGAACTACTGGTGGTTCTTTGTGGGTGTCATGTAAGGTGAGCAGGCGCTCTGCACATGGTCAGAGCTGCTTCCTGAAGCCCTGGAGCGAACATAGGAAGTAGCACCCAGAATGGGTGTTCTTGAGCAGGTGCAGAGTGCATCATTCTTGTCAGGGCCTGGAGTGCTTTGTTCCTGGGAATTCCTAGGGGTCTTTTTTTGGGGGGGGGGTCAGTCTCGCGCTCTCTCCGCCTCTCTCTCTGTTGCCCATTTTGGCTCAGGCCCGCTGCCTGCCTTTCCCAAGCCCCTCTTCTTTCGGCAGTTGGAATTCTCAGATGCTCCCTAACTCCTGAGAAGGACATACCGGTTTTCCTCCATCCCCTGCAGACCAGTTTGGCCCAGTTTGTAACTCCTCTGGTTTCCTTCCAGGGCCAACTGTGCTTGGACGGAGGGGAGGCTGATGCAACGCTTCTGGCCCCCTGCTTCCAGATAACTCTTCCCCGATGGCTCCCCAGGCTGAACCCAAGGACTCGTAAGTAGCCGGGGAATATGGGGCCTGGTTTGGGGGATATAAATCAGAAAGGGGCCAGGTATACCTAGTTGATACCTTCCCCCCAGAATGCTGGGACTGAATGGGAGGCTGCAAAAGCCGGGCGCTTCTTCCTCCAGCCCAGTTTGTTGAACTTTTGAATGTCTCGGGACTCCTGGAGGCGAGAGCAAAGTTGTTTGTTTATTTTTAAAATTTATATTCCACTGAATTGGCTGGAGGGCCCAGACAAACAGAAACGCATTGTAACAATGACAGTAAAAACAAGTGCTTAACACACAGTAAGGAAAAGACAAATAAACACAACAGTACATAGCTGAGGGTTATTAGCTTGTAAATTAAAGCAACAAACCAGTTAAAATAATCCAGATAAAATCAATTCTTAAAGTGCCTAGAGAGTTTAAATGATAAATGTCTACCGTGCTAAGATATTAGATTTTTTATTTTACATTTTTTCAGGCAAGTGCTAGGATAAGCTTGTAGGGGTAGCCAGATAATGTGGTGGGGCTGAACTCCCAGTTTAAAAGCCATAATATTCCTCACTGGCCAGTCTCTCAGGCTTACATGAGATGCTAGAGATGAGCAGAATAAGATAAATTGCTAGAATTATTGCTTGAATAAAAAGGGACTATTTCAGCAAGATAGAGCGGCAATTGTCTCTGGGGCTGGTAGGATTTGGAGTCCCTTATCATTTGAAGAAGGGCTGTAGGCTCCCCCTACAAACTTATGATCAAAGCACCTTTCCATCTCCTGGACATAAGATGTATTTGACGTTGCCTTTACATTTTAAAGTGCTGAAAACTTAGATTGTTTTTGCTCTGATCCTTTTTGTGACTCCGGGGCTGTTTTCCTCGCTGGCTTGACATGAATTGGGACAGTTACAGAAATGGTTAGCATTTTAGAAGGCACAGCTCCAAAAAAAAAAAAATAATAATAATTATGGGCCTGTTTTTATTGTTTGTGTGCTCAGTTATGCGTCTGGGGGCAAGAGAAGTCCTCTGGCTGGGTTGATTTGCATGAATGACAGGTTCACCGGTTTTGTGCTTGCCACTTTTCTGAATAGTGGACAGATTCCCTTTAGTTGTCCCAACTTCCTGCACATTTTCCTGTCCTCCTGCTCCCATCCCGAAAAGTAGTGGTATGTCTTTATTGCTTGTAGTCACAGGCCACCACAAATGTGAAAGGAGAAACAAGAGGATGCAGTAAAAATATAGTCCAGTTTCCAATGCAAAAAGTAACAAACCATTAAGGACCATAAAAAGTATAGTAGAAATATAATAATTAGAGGAACCTCACTAAATCACACACCCTCCATGGGAACAAATAAAATAATCCTTATCTGAGTGATTAGTATAAAATTGCATGGACCTCATTAGCCTTCGCTTTTCTAGCAGCCAGTTAGAATAGATGCCATCCCTTCTCTGCAAACAGTAAACAGGATCTTGTCCAACGAAGGTCAACTTAATAAAAAACCAAGAATATGATGGAAGAATCTATACATTGGAGCACTGAAGTAAATGGTATTCAGTGTTCTTAACGTCACCGGGGCTGCGAGTCCTTGTCATCTCCTACTCAGATAAAAGAAGGTATAAAAGATCATATATAAAGATCATATAAAAGGGGCAACATTAAGAACCGAAAGTAATGCTGCAAATGAACGCTGTTTTGTGTAATGGATACCAGATGGAGTATTACATTTGAATAGTACAGTGTAAGTCATACACTGAAAAGATTTATTAACTTACTTATTTAAAACATTTATATCCTGTCCTATATGAGAAAGACGTGAACTCGATTTTCCTGTCCAGAAATGAGCAGAAGTTGTAAATTTCCTTCTGCAGTAGAGAAGCATTTCGTTTCTCTCGCTGGTGGGGGAAGGAGGAGGCAGGAAGGGAAAAACAAATACACGTTTATCTACGCAAACCTTTGCCCCGGTCGAACTTGCATTTCTTGCTGCTGCTTTTGCTGCTGAAGTTGAGATAATTTTTAGACTCGGTGCTGGGCACACCCATGCTGGAGAAAGCCCCAAAACTAGCCATTCCCCAGCTGGACAAGAAATATTCTGACCGTTTGCTCATCTTTCCCCCCCAAACCACTAGGTTCCACTGCGTGGGGATCATTTTCTTTCTCCTTGGCCTGGGGACTCTTCTTCCATGGAATTTCTTCATCACAGCCATCCCGGTTAGTACTCTGTTGGGATCATTTTCTGGATTTTTCCCAGCTTGGCTTAATCCCAAAATTTAACAGTGCTTTCCAGCCAGCTCACGTAACAACGCATTATTATTCACAATTATGGGAAGTTCTGAGTCCATTTCCATACGAAGTTGTGTTTCCTCAAGATCGGCATCCTCAGTTCTGCCGTCTCCCGGGGGGGCTTGGTCTTCATTTCCCATGAGCCCCAGCCAGCATGGATGTTGGGAGTTGAAGTCCAGAACATTTTGGGGGACACCCAGCTGCTAGAGATGCAGTCAATATTTTTAAAAAATCGTTTTGTTTGTTCTTTCCAGTGACTGGGCATTTTGCAGTCTTTGTTTTTAGTTAACCATTTTGTTGTGTCATCGGGAATGGCAAACTGGGGCTAAGCATTAACCACGGTTCATTCAAACCAGCCATGTTCAAACTAGGTTTTCTGAGTATTTATTTATTACTTAAAAGCTTTTATATGCCATCCTATTATATAAATATCTCAGGACGTCTTACAGTGCAAGCAACAAACAACAACAACTTCAAATAAATGAATTCAAACAGTAATAATGTATAAAACAATAAACAGTAAATCACAAAATAAGATGCCGGCTAGTTTAATGTAGGCCACACTTCTTGATTCAGAAGCTGCAGTAAATAACAGCAGAATTTTCAATCTCCTTTCCCTTGCTAGCACAGAAATTTATTTACATCATGCCAAACCCCAGATGGGGGCATTCCACCTTCCACCTTCTCCCTTCCACCAGCTTCCACCTTCTCTCACTGTTGGCAAGGTGGGATGTGAATTGGATCCAACAACAACTTGAGGGTTGTGTTGTGTGAATCCCCAGTTTACTGGAGCATCTGATGATGTCAGATCTGCTGTATCTGATCTGATCAGAATTTGGTGCTGGGATTTCTGCCAGGAACCCTGAGTTGCACCACCTTTGGTGAGGGAGTAGAAAGGGAGTAGCCATTCAGGAGTATCTGGAATATATTTTTTAAATCGCTTCGCCATCTGCGTCTTTGTGTTCTGGGTGGGAAAGAATGAGGTTGGTCTGGCTTAGCTTTGGTGCGGCGTTGCTATTCCCCGGACTTCTCTGAAATGGGTGTTATAATACAGATGAAGAGAGTGCCTCAGGGCATGGGCAAGGTGCCCTTGCTGGCATCTTGGTGTGGAGGGGCTTCTCTCACATCTGGCCCATTCTCATGCTCTCCGCAGTATTTCCAGGACCGGCTCATTGTGGGGAATTGCTCAGCCAATGGGAAAGATGGGAATTGGACCTCGCAAGACCCGGGACCTGCAGCTCCCTGCAGGGATGACTTTAACTTCGGCAACTGGCTCGCACTCCTGTCTCAGCTGCCGCTCCTGCTCTTCACCCTCCTCAATTCCCTCCTGTACCCGTGGTGAGTGATCCCCGCTTAAGCCCAGCTTAGCTCCCTGATCTGTGCCTAGACTCTGCCTCGTTCTGTGAACGCTCTCCAGTTTCCCCTTGCTGGGTTGTTCCCTTGCAGACACATGGGCCCCTCGTTACAGGAAGGATGTAGCCAGGTTGGAGTCAGTGCAGCGCAGGGCCACAAGGTTGGTGGCCGGATTGCAGGGGATGGGGAACGAGGCGAGACTGAGGGAGCTGGGTCTCTTCAGCCCGGAGAAGAGGAGACTCAGAGGGGATCTGCTGGCGACATGCAGGCATGTGAGGGGGTGTCACACGGAGGTGGGCAGAGTCCTGTTCTCCCCTGCAGAGGAAGGCAGGATGTGCTCCAACAGAGCCAAGCTCAGGGAACCCAGGTTCAATTTGGAGGCCAGGAAGCACTTCCTGACAGTCAGGACCCCGAGGGTGAGGAATGGGCTTCCATGGAGGTGGTTGAGGCCCCACCGGTGCGGGTGTTCAAGGACAGGCTGGACGTGCACATGGTGGGCATGTCATGAGTGGAGCCGGCTGGTGCCGGAGGTCAGACTAGATGGCCCGGGAGACCCCTCCTGACTCGCTCTGTTTCTATGTTTCTGTGTGTCGGCACTGACTGAGCCGAACGCTTCCTCAAGTGGCCAGGGACAGTGAAGCCTCGGCCAGTGGGGTGACCCTGTGGCAGGCGTGCCACGGCCTCGGCCCAGGCACAGGGGGAGCAGGTGCGGGAGCGGCCGTGGGCCCCGGCACCTACTGCAGCAAGTGCTAGCCGCATGGCGGGCAGAAGGTGTGTGGCTCACAGAGGGAGGAGGCCTGGGGGGGCGCTGCTGACGGGCCCTCCAAACGGGGGCACATCTTTCCACCTCTTCCTTTCTGCCCCTGCGAAGCATACCGGACAAAGTGCGGATCTTGGGCAGCCTTGCCGGGATACTAGTCCTCTTCGTGCTGACAGCCACCCTGGTCCGGGTGGAGATGCCGCCCGCAAGGTTCTTCTCCATCACCATGGCGAGCGTCTGGTTCATTAACTGTGAGTCTGCGGATCAGAGCCCCCGTTTCTCTTTGAACCCTCAACCAAGTCAGGAAATGCTGACCTCCTCTTCCTGGATCCATGCTGCCCTGTGTGGCAAGGGACCTGTCTGCATTTCACCTGGGGGAGAGAAGAATGAGGGGCAGTGTGAAGTAGTGGTTAGAGCAGGGTTGCTGCCCAGCTGCTACCCCGAGGGCCAGATTCCATGTTGGAGTAGCTTTCAGGGACTGCATTACAGTGGCACATGGGACAGGGGGGAAAGGGGAACGGGGCATGGCCAATTAGGGCATCCCTGGAAGAGCAGATTGGAACCCAGAGCTAGCTTCTAATTCTTTAAGCTGTGCATCAGGCAGAAATCCAACCGGAGCAGTTTCCCCATCCTCGCAAAGCATCAGAGCATCACACACAGTCTTGCCCACCCAGCAGCCGAGGCTCAAGGCTGGCAGGGTTTCAGGGGGTGTTTGGGAAGGCTCAGGCCCCACATCCTGAGCGTGTCCGCCTCTTTTCTCGGCTCTCCACAGCTTTCTGCGCCATCCTTCAAGGGAGCCTCTTTGGGCAGCTGGGGTCGTTTCCCCAGAGCTACAGCACGGTTTTCCTGAGCGGCCAGGGCATGGCAGGGACCTTTGCCACGACGGCCATGCTGCTTTCCTTGGCGAGTGAGTACCTGCTTGCGGGACGGGCTGGGGAGGGACCCGGGCACCCGCCCCTGCGGCAAACCGTCAAACAGGCGAACCTGCAGAAGTGCTTGGCCCGCTGGCCCTGGGGAAGGCGTCTCTAAATTAAAAGTCCAGGCATTTGCACCGTATCTCGCAGGGGACTTGCGATGCCTCCGTCTCACCCCGTGGCATTCTTTCCGTCCCCGGAAGAGCCAAGCGGGAAAATGCCCCCAGTAGCCTTGGTTCGTCGGTCTGTTTCAGGCGGCCTGGATGCCCAGACTTCCGCCTTGAGCTACTTCGTCACCCCCTGTGTCGGGACGCTGATTTCAATCGTCTGCTACCTCGTCCTGCCCTACAAGGTGAGACGAGGCTCTTTCGTCCGGCCACGAGGTCATGGGAAAGCGAGAGACGGGCCTTTGCGAGTGTCGTCCTTGTGCCTCGCAGAGGGGAATTGCGGGGAAGCCGATCCGGGGATGCAAACCAATTGCTTTTCTCTCCTCAGGACTTTGCCCGTCACCACCTGGACAAGAGCCGTGAGGAAGAGCCCGTCTGTGAGCTGGAGATGAAGACTGGGCTGCTTTCCCCAGGTCAGTGGGCTTGAGGGGAGGAAGAAACAGGATTTCCGCAGTGGGTTTTCCCGGGTGATGCATGCGGTGTCTCGGGGAGATCGGGGGATCGTAAAAGAGGCTTCGGGGGGATTCCGACTGGAAGAGGACCGGAATATGCAGCTGTGAGGCCTGGCCTGCAAACCCAGAGAGGAGCCGTTGTGGAGTACGGGTGGAGTGTATCGAACCAAGTTGGTGCTGAAACATGGGCTATGTATCTGAACCCAGCCACACTAACAAGTCATGGTTTGTTAATGAACAGCCTATAAAGGGAACCCCTCCGGTCTTGTTGGGCTGTGAACAGTGAATTGTTCCCCATGGTTTCTTGTCTTAGCTGGGTTCAGACGACACGGTAACCCACAATTCTGTAGCAATCCGCAGTTCCACGACAACCCACACTTAACCTGTCTTCCACCCTTGAGGGTGGGTTATTGTGTTGTCTGGACCCAGTCACTAAGAAACGGTGAAGGTCTTACCACTCTCAGTGATCGAATGCCAGGAGCTGCCTGACAATGTAACAATGGGGACTAGTCACATGGCCAGTCAGACAGGAGAAGCGAGGTGAGGTGGGGAGCTTTATGGGAGAAGGTGATTGGAGCCCCGCAGTCACCTGACTGCCATGTCTGTGCCAGTAGAAGATGGTGCCCTGGTTGTCCCTGACGGCCCGCAAGAGGAACAGCTAAACCAGAGTAATGGAAATGTGGTAGTGGAGCAGCGGGGCGTGAAATGTCCCCCTCAGAAGATGAATGGAAACAGCGGGACGGGACTTGTTCCACCGAAACCGTCCATCCTCGGGGTGCTCAAGAAGGTAGGACCTACAACCACGACTCAGTGGTAGGATGTGACCCGCTTGCTTCCTCTTATTTCCCAGCGGAAACAGCTGTGGAAAATGGCCAGGGGAGTCTGGAGAGATTCTGCCCCTCAGTTCCGCCCTGGATGGGTCAAACAGGCATCTTAAATAGGTCCTGGGGTGGGAAGTTCCCATGTCGGGATGCTTACGGTGCAATCCTGTCCCTATTTCGGCCAGAGAAGGGCCAAGACCCTGCACAGGCCTATTTGCTTTGCTTGTGCAATGTTTTGTACCCCTGATGTATTTTTACACCCTTCATCTCCGACTGCTGTCAAAGGCAGTGATCTGGGTAAAAGGGGTGTCCGGCACCTTTCCGCGTTCCTGAGCAGGAGCAGAATCTCGCTCCAAGCGGGTCAAACAAGCGGCCACCTTCTTTTCTGTGAGTCGAGACCGCGCGTGATTTTGGTTGCATCCGGAGGCTCACTTTCGATCCCTGTCAGATGGAACCAACAAGGAAAATAATTTTTTCTCGGGTTCCCCCCATTGCCCATATGTCTCCTTCGGACCATCCGGTCGTTGGGTGATCCCTTAGTTTTCGGGGGTAACGAGGGATTTTCCCCGTTCTGAAAAATGGATTGCCTTTCCTTCTAAGTTTGGTTATTGGCAGTAAGGATTAAAGCTTAGATTAAATAGATAGATTAAATGCTTAAAAAGGCAACGATTGGGCTGTGGAGCTTCAGTCTTACCCAGAATGCAGCCCCAAGAGTGTTTCTGAAACGGAGTTCGGCTTTGGGACCCCAAGCAACGGGTAAAGGCAGGGCCAGCATCTAAGAGCAGGCTGCTGGGATTTGTTGCTTTCCTGGGGTCCTTTCTATTTTTCCTCCCTGTTGCAGATCTGGCAGCTGGCGCTCAGCATCATCTTGGTCTTTTCCATCACACTTTCTGTGTTTCCTGCCATCACGGCCAGCGTCTCCACCGTCTCCGAGAATAAAACGTGGCGTGAGTGACCGGGGTCTTGGGGAGGGGGGCAGGTGAAGCAGGGTTGATCGGGGCTTGGGGGAGCCGGCAGGAGGGCCTTGTTCCGCCGAGTCCCAAAACCGGAATAAATACCATATGCAAATTGTTGCAAATATATGCAATGTATACATGGGTGCCATGTGCAGACGCCTTGAATGCGGTTGCCTGTTTATCCAATTTTCCTGTTTCCCGACCCTTTTTGAACACTGTGTTTAAAGACGTGTGTATTGCCACATCTTGCGTCCCAAAGCAAGTTATGAATCAAAGATGCAAGCATCCTTTTTTAAAAAAATGGCAAATCTGGTGCAAATATGTCTGGCAGGAATGGATCCTTATGTGGGTGTCAAAGCCAGTATTCAGTAGAGCAAAGGAAGGACAAGGGGCCGTACCTCATGATATGATCTGGAACATGGAGGGCTTGCAAGGAAGGGGGTGTTCCCCCTCCCCTACTCGGTTCCTCGCCCCACTAACACTAGTATTTTCCTGGCTGTGAGAGGGAGATCTTGGCCTTGTTCTCTGGAGGAGGAGGACCTGACTTTTGCAGCCTCTTTAGGCCAGGAATGCCAGCTGCCGAGAATTCCAAGAGGACTAGCACCTTGAGGAAAGCACCAGCTCAGTTCCCGAGCGCATGCTGCCCCTTTCTTCCCATCACCTCATTTCTCTGCCCCTTCTCTCCCCCTCAGAGAAGTTCTTCACCCCGGTTTGCTGCTTCCTGCTCTTCAACATCATGGACTGGCTGGGCCGCAGCGCCACCTCCTACTTCTCCTGGGTAAGCGGTCGGACGTGTGGCAGTGCTGCCGGCGGGGGAATTCCTCCCGCCCCATACCGGGGACCGGAAGCACTGTCCTCGCTTGGCAGGCTAGACTTGAGCCCACCTGAATGCTAGACGCCGGATGGGACATGCTGGACTGCAGTGCCCATCAGCCCCAGCCAGTGGTGAGGAATGATGGGGGTTGTAGTCCAGCAGCCTCTGAAGATCATCTCTGGGTGCTTTCACCATTTGAGATTGGGTGGAGGTTTAAGGTTTAGTTGTGCACCTAGGAATGAATTCGGGAATCGGCTCGCGCGCCGTTCCGGGAATGTCTGCGATGCGCGTTTCCACTCTTCGCAGCCCGAGAAGCACCTGCGGCTGCTCCCGGGGGTGGTCGGCCTCCGCCTGTTCCTCGTCCCGCTTTTCCTCTTCTGCAACGTCAGCCCACGCGCCTCCTTGCCACTGCTCTTCCGCCAGGACGCCTGGTTTGTCCTCTTCATGCTCGTCTTCTCGCTCTCCAACGGCTATTTCGTCTCTCTCTCCATGTGCCTGGCGCCCAAGTGAGTGGAACAGTCCCTCTCCGGAAACGCGGGGCACAAGTATTAACAGGGTGTCTGCACCGGTTGCTGGTTCTCCCTGGGGATATTTATTTATTTACTTAAAGCTTTTATAGAAACCTAGAAACAGCGCGAGTCAGAAGGGGTCTCCCGGCCATCTAGTCTGACCCCCGGCTCCAGCCGGCTCCACTCATGACACGCCTACCAGGTGCATGGCACCAAAAAGAAAAACAGTGTCAGGCGAAACCTCTGGGGATTAATTTAAGGGCCAAATTCTGTTTCCGGGCTCTTCGGTGTCACTTGCTGGAGGTGTGCAGAGTTATCCAAGTATTTTACCTGAGTAAAATACATTAGCCGAGTATTTTGGCTTAAAATGCCCCCTTTGGGCAAGCCAGCCTTAGCAGAGACATTTTGACCTTTTGGAAGGGGGGTGGGTGAGGATGCGTGGAAGTCACAGAACCATCAAATGACCGGTGGTTGGGGAAGGGGGTGGAGGGAGAGCGGGGGGGGGTGTCATGGTTAAGAACTCAGTGCTGGGACTCAGGAGGTCTGGTTCGAGTCCCCGCTCGGGCATGGAGCTCTCTGGGTGACTTTGGGCCAGCCCCAGACTCTCGGCCCGGCCTACCTCACAGGGTTGTTGTTATGAGGATTTGGTGGGGTGGGGAGAATTAAGCTGCTTGAAAGAAAAAGTGGCAGGAAGAAAGGCCTGACTTTGACCGCTGGCCAGATGCTTCCCCTCCTTGACCGAAAGCTTTCTCGTCTCTTCCCCAGGCAGGTGCAACCCCACGAAAGTGAACTGGCCGGAGCAATTATGACCTTCTTTCTGGCCCTGGGTCTCTCTTGCGGGGCCGGACTGTCCTTTGCCCTCAAAGCTTTGCTTTGACGATGCCACCATGAAGCAAACAGTCTTTTGGGACTTGTGGGGGGTTTATCCTCTGCCCCCTCATTTCCTTGAAGCCCCCTCCGTGGGGCTGAAGGGAAGCGGAGGCTCCTTAGCCATCTCCCGACGAAGGGAAGGGTTCCTTTTGTCTGCATCGGGTTCGGCCCGTCGTCCTCTGTTTTTTGCGTATCTTCCGGCTGACTCTTGGGTTTTTCTGGCAGGAGAGGGCAGAAGTGAGAATTCGCAAGACCCCGCTTTATGTAAGTTGAGGGGCTTGACCCGCAGCCATTTCTGCTTGTAGGACCTACATAATGCACACAAAAAGGGAAACTTAGAAATATCCGCACACCTCACATTTCTCTTCTTGACACTGGAATCCAGGGAACATTTGGTTGCATGACACACAGTTACTTTCTGGGCTTTACGTCCCTCTGAAAGGTGAAGGATAGAGAGGTGGAGAAAGGCAGAGGAAAGCTAAATTCACCCTTCTTCCAACGTGAATTGGCTTTGGGTAGCAAGATAACCCAAATTCTCTGCTTCCCCGTTCAATTTCTCTCCTCTTGGTCGTGTTGAACGACTAAACCATTTGTGGAAACAAGAGGACTAGTAATTGCCTTCTTTGAATGGGAAAAAAGCTCAAAAGACCTCAGGTTCTGTGGCAGCTTTTCTAATGCACACTGAAAGAGCAATTGAATGTATGAAATTTGTTTCAGGCCTTCCTCCCACGCACAAATCCTTGCAAGTATTTCTGCATCTTTGCCTGCCCCCCGCTGTTACGGTTTTAAAATATGCAAGATTTGGAAACACATAGGAAAAGGGAAAGAAAGAAAGAAAGAAAGAAAGAAAGAAAGAAAGAAAGAAAGAAAGAAAGAAAGAAAGAAAGATGGTAATAGGTTTCATCATGCCTTTTGAAACTGCAGTGTTTCATTTTCTAGCAAAATTTGTGGAAAAAAGCCAAGTTCATTGTAGAGAAAGACAGAACTATATTATTGTACACTGGTCTTTGACAACTTGATGTTCTCCAGATGTGTTATTCTGGGGTTGATGGGTGCTGTAATCCAACGTATCACCCTCAGCTGGGAGGGTGCGGTTTCAGGGAGAATGGCATATGTTATCTTTCTGGTATTTCTGGGCAATTCAGTAGATTTAAGGAAAATCATTTCACAATGAGCTTTCCAGGGAAATGATCTGGGAATATTGTGAGCTTGTTAATGGTCCTTTGTTAGGTCCAGTCTCTGGCCTCAACTGAATGCCTAGAGATGTTTTTCTCAGCCTCTGACAGGAAAAAACCTTCAGTACAACTGACGTGCTTCAGCCTCGCTGTTGATTTTAGCAATAATATACAGAATTGATTGTGCTTCAGTGTAAGCTTCTGCGCTCTGCTCGTTCGGCTACGAGGAAACTCAGCATCAGGAAGAGAATGCTTTTGTTCTGCCTTTGATTTTACACAACTCGAGTCTCCACAGGGATGCGTGTGAGCCAGTCCGCACAGATCCTCGTGCCGCACGTGTGTGAGGTCGTAAAGGAGTCACAAAATACGCACAAAATATGCACAATGTGAAGAGAGGCATGGTCCCCTAGTCAGTTGCGTTTCCGAGGAATGCCTGAACAGAGCTAGAATTTGCTTTTAAATATGCCAGTAAAAATGCAAACAGCCTGCAATTCAATTATGGACCTTTTTTTGGTCTAAGCATACATAAAATCGTACCCTTAGTGGCTTAGTATTAGCTTTATGAGAGATCAAAGGGCAAATGTGATAACGTGTTGTTTCTTTTAAAGAGGACTGTATATTTATGTTGTTTGTGATACGAGTAATTTTTTTAACCAGGTCTCTGCAGGCGATTCTGTTGAAGTAGCAGCAGAATTCAGAAGTTTTTATTCTTTTTTTAAAATAACATTTCCGTTGCATGTACAATGTTGAATCATTGCTATAATTAGAGTTAACTATGGATTTCCCCACCGAGGTGACCTTTTTTGAATTAAAAAACAAAACCAGACAATGGTTGAGTCTCTCCTCTCCTGCTTTATGAACACCCCCAGTGGGAAAAAAGCCCACAGCTTTTTCTGCAGGGCTGCCACCTGCGGCCTCCTCCCCACATGCAGCCCCCCCCTTGCAACCCCATCTGTAGTTCCCCGAGTCTGAAAAGGGAGGGGGTGCAGCTTTCCCCATAGCAAGCCGCCAAATTTTCCTACACCGCATCTCTCTCCCTGCCACCCACTGCCCTCCATATTGCTGGGGAGGCCCCCGGTACCGCCAGAAAACAGGCAGTCCCGTAAGCCTAATTTGCATCTTTTTAAATTGTGTGTGGGGGGG